GACCACAGGCTCCCTGCCCTTCTCTCCATCACCTGTAGCCAGCATCAACTCCGCCATTCTATCTCTACTCCGAGGCTGGCTGCCAAGTGGGGTACATTCTCTCCCACCCCACCCCAGACATGCACACAAGCCCTTCCATTCCTGGGGGCTCTTCTGCTAATACCCTGGGGGAAGCTGAACAGGAGTGCAAAGCACAAGAGCTAGGTGAGATGAAGGACAGGACTGGGCCCAAGGAGCTGGCAAGGGACGAAGGCCAGCTTTTGTATCCATTTGGGCACATGGAAAGGACCTCACAACACAGGGACCACCAGGGGGCGGGCTACACCTGCTGGACCACTGGGCCATTAGGGGGCCTTTTTTGTTCAGAGTGAAGTGTCCTTAGGTGACAAGGATGCTTTACACATGCCCCTCGAGGGGCCAGTCGGAAAGCACCCCTGGGGATAAAAGCAGAGGAAAAAGAGAGCTAGGGTGTCCTAGGTGTCAGTGGACTTAGGCATTTGGTTGGAGAAACCCACGCATGATGGGGAAGAGGGAGCCTTGGAAAAGAAGGATCAGGATTCTGGGAGCATGGGTGCTGAGGGCAAAAGGATGAGCTCTTGGGAGCCCTTAGGGATCACGTCCTGGAGCAGCTAAATGGGAAGACAAGACAGGATGTGTAGGGACATAAGAAAGCCCTCTGGCTTCCCTAACAACATCCTGGCCTTCCAGGTCATGGGGAAGAAGGGCAGCTGGAGTTCACAGCCTCCCCCTCAGGACCTGCAGCTCCACACTTCAGGGATGCTGCTCCTAGACCACTCCGGCCCAGGCATGCAACCCTGGTTTGCTCACATGGACCAGTGGAGTCCCCATTGTTGCTTCAGCCGGTTTGAGTTGTTTTCCACCTCAACCTACACAGAAGAGAAAAAGCAGCCTAAGAACAGAGGCTGGAGGGGAGAGATTCCGAGATGGTGAGCAGAGGAGGGGCAGGCTGCGGAGGGCAAATCCAGAAAGCATCATCATTCTCCTCTCTGGATTAATGCAACACCTTCTGTGCAGTTCCCTGCCTCTTGCACTGCCCCTGACCCAACTTGTCAGTCAGTGGGGAACTTTCTAAACATGTGTCTGAATGCATCATGCCCATGCCCCCAAAGCCCAGATCCTGTTCCTGAGTTAAAGGGCTCTGTTCGATGTGAGCCTACACAATACCAGACCCTTAAACTGCAGCCACTGCAGACAGCCCCGAGCATGCTCTCCCTTGCCTCTAAGCCTGGAAACGTGCTGCTCCCTCTACCTGAGACACTCCTTCTGTACCACTGCCTCCCCGGTTCCCCTTTCCTCAAAGCACCACCTCACTTTGACCTTGAACTCAGTGTTCCTTTGCCAAGGGCAGCCTCTCCCTCACCCTGAGAGCAGTCTTGCCACTCTCCCCCACCTTCTGGTTCAACTGTCCCCTGCACACTGGAGCTCTACCCCAGGGCTCTAGCAGAGACCCCAGATCGGGCTGCCCTCACCACTACCTGCCCCGTCTTCCTGTCTGCTCCTGTCCTTGGCCCCTTGGGGCCAGGCTTGTCAGCCCTAGTCCCACATCCCCCTGCCAGTCTTTGTCCCCTCGCTCTGTGCAGCTCTTCCTTTCTGGGATCATGGTCCTTCCTACATTTGCCATTTGTCCTTAAAAAAGTCATATCCACTAATTTTCTGTTTTAAAAATGTATTTAAACAAAAATGTATTAAACAAAAACTAAGTTAACATAAAGAAAGAATTAAATAGTACAGGTGGCACATTTGGGGAATGTGACTCAGACAACATTTTGGTGCCCTGCTCAGATCCCCTTAGGTCCCTTTTACCATTTCTGGGCGTTCCTCTCTGGGCTTGGGTGTGCTTTGGCCTCAGTGGTGGGCGCCTGGCCTCGGGTCGTAGGAGCTGCTTTGCTGTCATTCCCAGGGAGCCAGGACAGCCCAGGTTTAAGGGACGTGTGAGTGTGATAGGCCAGCTCCCGAAACCTCCTTTTGGACAATTCGGAGATTCTGTGTCTAGAATGGAACCCAGTACATAGGGGGCACTCAATAAATGTTTGTTTGATGAACAAATGTAGCCAAACTTATCAATCTTATCCTTTGTAATTCCTGGAGTTTTTGTCACTCTTAGGGCTTTCCCATTGAGGACGAAAAAGGCATTTACTCATACTTGTTCTGCTGTATTTACTTGCTTGTGAATTTTGTGTATTTAATTACTCAATCTCTCTGAGGTAAATACGGCTACTCAGTTGTCCCAATAGCAACTCTTGAGTTTCCCCTTTCCTGTAAAACCAAGATGCTCTCGTACTTACGACTCGCTGAATGACAATGGTAGTTATAATGATTATATCACCACATGAAACAAATACTCACCTTGTAAGTTTAAACATTTCCTTTAATAGCTACATAAAAATGAGGTCGACATCGAGGCAAGGACAGGAAGAAATGGAGGGAAATAGGTTGATTGAAGGATGGGGCCATGAGTGGGGTGAGTTTTTCTTTGATTTCTATTACTATGCATGGCATTTAAAAACCTGAACCTTTAAATGAACAGACTGTGGAATAGGACTTAAAAAAAATAGCAAGCTGTTTCCTTGCCTGGACCTGAGACAAACACTGGGTGAAGGTAGGTTTAGGGGGTTTTTGTTTGTTTTTTGGAGGTGATCTCAGGAAGCTAGAGGATGCAGGTAAGGGAAGGTGGTTACTGGAAGGCCCTAGGGAGTTACTAGTGGAGGCAAGGCCAGACAGTAGAGAACCTGCGTATGAAAACCACTTCCTTTGGCCCTGCACCCTGAGCTCTGAACTCCTCCCCAGGGTAGACCAAGTGAGCAAAACCTCAGCAAGCCCCCCACCCAAAAGGAATCAGGCCCCAGGCATGTGGACCAGCAAGTCTAAATGCTCCCATTACCTTGTGCTGGCTAATGGGATGCAGCAACATCCAGGCAGCAGGGATGCTCAGCTCTGTGGTTATATGCTGAGAATTGTATGAGGAACCCTATCTCTGGAAAATCCCTTGCTGGCCCCTTAGAATTCAGTAATTTTTAAAAACTGAATTCAGAAAATATTTTAATTCGCCAGACTCTGGGGCAGTCATACCCTCCGCATAACAAAAGTGGAGAGCATGGTACCCTCCCTGGGTACCATGAGGGCCTAATCCAGTCTGCACTTGGGAGGGCTAGGCACGGCCTGTCCTGGAGCCCAGACTACTTAAGTAGGGATTGCCTTCCTAACCAAAAGGGCGCTTCACTAACCCTTCGGGGCTTGGCTGTCCCAGGCAACTCACTGGGGGCCCAAAGGTGAAGCAGAAGCTACTCACAGGTGAACAAACGCCAAGGCAACGGACGCCAAGACCCATCCACGGGCAGAGAGCCAAGATGTCAGTTGAGGTATAGATTTAGGGGCAAAACACCCACTGCTTGCCTACCTACCTATCATAGAAGTTGCCCTGAAGGGCTCTCCCACTTGCCTCAACCCCAGAAGCCCTGTCCTGGAGTCATCTAAGGCAGTGACTAGAGAAGTCTGCCGGCTGCCCCTCCCCAGAAGCACCCCCTGAAGTCTACAATACGTTTTTGGAAAGGCTCGCTGGTTCCCCGTGAGCACTCGACCTGGTTGCATTGGGATCCGTGCTCCAGGGTATACAGAGCAGAAAGGTCCCATTGGGCCTCTCCTTCTTTAAGGCACAGCAAGCCTGGGCGAGCCTACGAGGCCTGAAGTGCGCGCGCAGCACAGCGCCCCGCCGCAGGGCTCTACGAGCGACGTCCCACCCCCTTAGCCTCCTCGGTACGTAAGGCTCCCGCCCAAATCCTCCTGATTGGTGGAGACCGCGCGCGAGTGCCCCTGCTCCGCCCCCAGATCCGAGCTCCTGCGGCACTGCACCGCCCCCTGATTTACAAAGCTGCCAGTGTGGCTTCCAAGTTGGAACTCGAAGGCGCGGGCACAAAAGGGCTCCGACTTTCGGAGGCTGAAGGGGCACTTTTCCGTCATGCTCCCGCTCTGGACGTCGCCCCAGGCTTGCCAGTGGCTGGCAACTCTTCAGAAGCACAGTTCGAGCGCAATTCGACCCTCCACAGGTCCCTTCTCTTCATCCTGCGATCTTCTCCCCTAGCCCCCTTTCTGCAGAGCACCCATAAATTCTCATTGCCTGGCGGTCCCTCGAAGGCGACACCACCACATGCCAGGAGGCTGATCCTCGAGGACCCGGCAGTGGGCTCTTGGGCACAAAGCTGATGCGGGTTCCGCCGGCACCCACTCCCGGAACCTCCAGCCCGACCTGCAGGCGCCCCCTTCCTGAGGCCCACTCACTCCTGGGTCCCTCATTCCCGGGCCCCTCCGAACTTCCCCGCAACCCCGAGGTCTTCCTTACGGCAGCCCCCGGGGCCCCTGCGCGGCCCGCCGCCGAGTAAGCCGCCACTCCTTAGCAGCCTTTGCGTCGGCACGCCGGGGCCCTCCAGTACACCGCGTCCCGGCTCCTCGGTCCCCCCCAAGGCAACCTCACGGGACCCCCACTCCCGTCCCACACTCCTCTGGCCTCTTCCGGGTAGATATCCATCTTCGCGCCCGCAGCCATGCGATCCTTCCTCGGCGCCCCGGTCCCCGCACCGCGCACCGCACTGTACCCTACCACACACCCACGGGCCCTGACAGTCGCCCCGCGCCGTTCCCCCCACGGGTCTGCCCGACTCCTTCCCACGACCCTCACCCCCCAAACCCCGCACCCCACTCATTTTTTCCGGCCCCCAAACACCCCCATACACCCCGAGCCCCTCACATCTACCGCCAGAACCCCTCTGACCCCCTACACCCCAAACCCTCACCTCGCCCATCTGCCCAGGACCCCCCGAGGCGCGCGGCCCCGCCCGCCCGACCTACACTCACCGCCTCCGTCTCGCCCCGCACCCCTCTCCCCCCGGGGCTGGCGGGCAGAGCCGCTGGCGGCGGCGGAGGCCGGTCCCTGGGCCGGGACACACCCACCCGCCCGCCCTCCTGCCTTCCCTCGCTCCCTCCCTTCTTCCCTCCCTCTCTCCCGCCCGCGCTCCGCGTTCACTCCTTCCCCCTCGCCAGCTCCTGCTTTCCTCGGCGCCCGGCCTCCCTCTCCGCCTGCCCGTGCGCGACTCTCCCGGGCGCGGCTCCGGGGTTCATGGTGACGAGGCGGCGGCCGCTCCAGCCCAGAGGCGGCGGCGGCGAGAGCTGGGACACGGGCGCGGGCCGCCTCTCCCAGAGCGCGGGGCCGGGCGGCGGGCGCGCCCAGGCGGCGGCGGCGAGCGCCCCCCGGCCCGCGGCCCCGCGCGCCCCCCGCGCCGCGCCCCCGCGCGCCTGGCCGGCGGGGGGCCGGGCCGGTGGGCGGCCGCCGCGCCGCGCACCCATGGACGGCCCGGCCATCATCACCCAGGTGACCAACCCCAAGGAGGACGAGGGCCGGGCGCGGGGCGCCGGCGAGAAAGGTGAGGAGGGGCGCGGGCGGCGGCGGCGGGCTGGGGGTGTGAGCACAACCCGCGCCGCCGGAGTTCGCTGGTACGGCCTGGAGGACTGGTGCGCCCGGGTGCGAGGGTGTGGGGTGCGCCCGCGGGGGAGGCCGTGAGGGTGCGTGTGCCGACGGGGATAGGCCGAGCGTGCCTGCGCCCGCGGGGAGCGTGTGGGTTGTGTGTGTGCATTCTCCACAGGAGGTTGTGAGTGTGCGGCGTGACCCTGGCCGGCGGCGAGTTTGTGTTCGCGCACACGCCGGCGGAGAAGTTGTGAGCGGGTGTGTGTTCCTGGCAGGTTTTGAGTGTGCACTAGACAGAGGGGTTGTGAGGGTGTGTGTGCACGAGACAGAGGTTGTAAGTGTGTGTGTGCCAACGTGCGTGCACACTCCAACTAAGAGATTGTAAGGATGGGTGTGTACCTAACAGAGGCTGGGAGTGCATGTTTCCCTAACGGGCTGTGAGTTAGTGTGTGTCTCTAATGTAGAGGTTTGTATGTACTTCAGAGGTTGTGATGTGTGTGTGAGTGAGAGAGATGGGGCGGGGGCTGGGCGGCATGAGAGAGACACACGGAGACACCTTTGCCTGCATAAGCGTGCAGAGATGTATGTATATTCACTCCTGATGGAGTTTGTGTGCGTGTGTGGGATTGTGTTCCCACACCACTCAACTGGCACTGGAAGGGGGTGTGTGTGCATGGGTCCACCAGACAGGCTGTGTGCCTGGGTGTGTTTCATTGGCTGTGCAAGTGCTAGTTTGGGGGGGTGGACAGCACTAAGCACCACCCCCTTCTCTGTCCTGGTGACACCAGCCTGTCAGGAGCACCTGCCAAGCGTTTCTCCTGGGCCCGTTTAAGGCCCAGCTCTAACAGGTACTCCGGGAGCCCTGGGGTGCCAGGGGTGCCCTTTCCCAGCGAGCTGGCACTGTGCTGCAGCACCGGGTGTGACTTGGGCACATTTTGGCCCCGCGGCCCTCTTCTGTTTCCCTCTTCCTCCTCTTTTTGTTTCTGCCCCCCTCCGAGACTCAGTGTCCCCTCTTTCACGTGCCCTGCTCACAGTTCCTCTAATGCACTGTCCTGAGGGTTGGACAGACTGGTTTCGAAGGGCCAGGGAATTCCACTTGTTTGTTCTGGTGACTAAAGTTCACCTCGCTTTCTTACTGCCTTACCCCAGCAAATACCTGGATGGAGGTCGGGCGCAGCCCACCCAGGCCTCTGCAAGCCTGGCCTGGCCACACCTGCCTCCGAAACAGGGTCAGATTTCTTTCCCTGTGTTGTCACCTTGGCTGTGCCCATGGGGTGAGGTGTGGGAACACGCCACTGCCTCTCCCCACACGGGGACTGCCAGCCCACCAGGAAAATGCCAGAAACCACGAGAGGTATCCTCAGATTGGAGATTTGGCAACCCATTTGCACTTTTTTAGACTGTAAACATTGTGTCTGTAGTCTGGTTTTCTTTTATGTACAATGAGAATTCAAGCTCCTACAGGCATTTTTCTGTGCCTTACAAACTGGCTAAAAAATTCTATGGGCGGGTGCTTCAGGTGAACCTCCATGTCCACCTGGGGCCCCAGCTGGCAGCACCTAGGTGGCCTGGTCTTCCTGCCATAGGAGTAGTCAGTTCTGGGGCCCTGGCCTTTGGGCTCTGGGCTGGGTGTGACCCCTCTGAAGGTTTAGTAGAAGGCATCAAGGAGGTCTGATGCATGTGCTCCTCACCCGCTGTGGGCTGAGTGCTTTGTGGGATGCTTTGCCAGAGAGAGAATCCACAGCTCTGCGAGGAGAGGCATGGCGTACAGCAAAGAAGTATTGGTCAGGGCCTCGGCCCTCCTGCCGCCCCACACCTGACTCCAGGAGCTGGGGCCTCCCCGGTTTTCTGTTTTCCTCTAGCTGCTGGGCTTTCTAAAGTAGAGTCAGTCTATCCAAACTCCAAACCATGTCCAAATACTCAGGACCGTGCATGTTCTGTTCTACTTGTTTACATTGCTTCTCACCACAGTCTTTTATCGTCTTTAACAGCTCATTCTGTTTGTTTTTTCTAGTGTCAGACTGCCTGATTGTTAACTGACGAGAGGAATTCTTTGCCTTCTTGATCTGGGGTGGGATAGCTAGCTAGTAGCTTCTTCTTGCTGAAGTATTAAAATCCTACTCGTTTTTTTTTTTTTCACTTTAAAAAAATGGAAATAATTTTGGTTAACTGCAGTGTGGCTCCAATAAACTTTGGAGCCAAACTTTGGAACAGTGTCTTCGGATTCATGAACCACCAAACATGGGGCAATGCTTCTAAGTTAAGCATGTTGATGTATTTAGATAGACAGGCACAATATATTTCACATATTTGTAATTTTAGATAAACACATAATCATTTTGTTTTTAAATGTGAGACCTGGACTGTTGTTAAGTTTTGTGGTAGGAGCGAAACTATTGGTTTTGAAACTTCACTTTCATCACTTACTCTGTAAAATGGGAGTAATAATGACTACCTGGTAGGTTTGATATGAGATGATGTATGTTAAGGACTCGGCCCAGTTCACCAGCAGGTCGCTATTTCATAAGTCTTCCTTAAGGTGCAGATTTGTAAAGGAAGTGCTAAGCATGGGCTGTCGTGTTTTGCACGAATTGAATTACTGCTTGACACACTGCTCTGTGATAGTGTACCAGTCAGAGATGACTGTCACAATTGTCACCGTCAGCCTGGCCTGTCATGGAAGCTTTATTTCTCAGTTGCATTTGACTGGATTGAGAGTGTAAAGATGCAGAGACAAATTTCCCTCTGAGTTTAATTCAGTCTGCTTTGCTATCTGGAAACTGACTCTTACAAATCAATATGAAAAAGTCAATGCAGTAGAAACATGGTCAAGGGATATGAACAAGAAAGTCACAGAAGATGAAATCCACATGCCCAATAAATGTACGGAGTGAAGTGATGCTCCACGTCATAGGAAACATTTTCGTGACAGCTTGGTTAAACATTTAAATGATTGACAACATCCTAAGTAAATAAACGTTTTAGGTAATGGATACTCTTAAAGATTTTTGTGACTACAGATTTTTTTAGGGAGTAATTTAGTACTGAATCATTTGGCTACAAGTGACAGAAAACCAGACGTATACTTCGGCTTATACCAGTGTAGGAGCTCATTCTTCCCACCTAACACGCGGTCTGGAGGTGGGCTGCTGCCGGCTTTGGTTCAGCAGCTCATTGGTCAGGTGACATCACCGTGATTCTCTTGGCTCTCCTTCATGTTGTAAAAGGACCTCCACCCCTCCAAACACCACAGCCACCGTTAGGGCAGGAAACAGGGACAGTGCCAATCATGTCTATCCCTTTCACCTGCAAAGGAAAAGCATTCCTAGGGACCCCTTAGCATGCTTTTGCTGATGTTTAAGTGGCCAGAACTGGGTCCCATGGCACCCCTAGCTGTAAGCAAAATGAGTTTCCAGCTTTTTTAGCCTTTGTTGTGGCAGGAGGAGAGGAGACGATTGGAAATGAGTGGGAACAGGTGGTGGTTCAGTCAGGGAAACCATGTTGGCCATTCCTTCAAAGCTCCAGAACCAGTTCTAGGTTTCTCTCCCAGGGGAATAAGCCTCCTATGTGCCCTCATGTCAGTGAAGGCCTTTCACCGATGGCTCCATTACTCACAATAGCAAAAGCTGGAGCCTTCGTGTCAGCAGGCAAACAGACTACGATACATCAGTACCACAGAGGACTGCAAAGCAATTGAAAAGAATGAGTTAAATCAGATCTAAAGATACTGACATACAAACTTCCAAGACATTTTAGGGGCGGAGGGTAGGAATTTCAAAAACGGTATAAATAGTATGATTCTATCTTTGTAAAATCACACACACGCAAAGCTGTACATATGTCTAGAACTACACATACAAAAAAAATCTAGAAAGAAATACTTCAAACTGACAACAAAGATTTTTCTCTGGGGAGAAGACTGGGATGGGAAGTGAGGGAATTGACAGTGTGCTTGTGTTTTACAGATGAAATTTTAAAAACTAAAATAGAAAAGAAACTTTCCCTAGCTGTTTGGAGGAAAATAAATATTAATAATTTAAGGGAATTGAATGATAATGAAACCAAAAAAGCCTCAATTAATATACAGTATTAGCAAGAACATATCAACTGTAGCTAAATGGTTGATTTGTAAGCTAATACATGCCCCTCAATGAGATTTTTGCAGACACATTTGGTTTTGGCAGATATTTTGGCCTAAGGTGCTAGGTAGATTTCTCCCAGATGTTTTCCGCCCTTGAGCTTAACTCAGAAACCTTTAACCTTTGAGCTGCTAACAAAAGTACAGCAAGAAGAATCTTGGAAGCTATAGTTCTTTCAGATGCCAGAGAGATTTGAAGTAGATTCAGTTTGCTCACCGTTTTTAAATGAAATTTTTTTATTTAGAGATAACTGTAGATTTACATGCGGTTGTCAGAAATCACACAGAGACCCCCTGTCGCTTCTACCCACTTCCCCCGCATTGTCAACATCTCGCCAAACTATAGTACAAAATCAGAATGTCAGCTTGGCCATGATACAGGAAAATTCCATCACCAGGAAGGTGCCTTTTATAGCCACCCCTACTTTTCTCCCATCTCTTCCCGCTCCTTAGCCCACGGACAACCACCATTCTGTTCTTCATTCCTAGAACGTTGTCATCGGGGATGCATATAAATGGACTCAAACAGTATGTGATCTTGGAACTGATTTTTTCACTCAGGATAATTCTCTGGATTTTCACCCAGGTTGTTGTTTGTCTTAATAGTTTGTTCTTTTTTATTGCTGAATAGTATTCCGTGATGTAGATCTACCACTGTTTGTTTAAGCATTCATTCCTTGAAGGACAGCTGAGTTGTTTCTGGGTTTTGGCTGTTACGAATAAAGCTACTATGAACATTAGTGTACAGGGTTTTTTGTTTTGTTTTGTTTTTTAGATTTTATTTATTTATCTTTAGAGGGGAAGGAAAGGAGAGAGGGAGA